ACGATTTTTCCACTTCTATTGTAGTTGTGCTGACATCTTTGATGAATTTTCTTCTTCATAGTCGCAGGATATTCTTCGATGAGTTTCCCCAAAAGATAATAATACTCAAAGGCATTACTATTTCTTGTAACCTTTAATTTATTCAAAATAGTGTTCAATTGTGTTTCTTCATCTCCATCTATCCTGGGTAATTCTCTTTCATCGAATCTAGGTACTCTGAATTCTTCTAAATATTCATCAATCTCAGTGAATTGCTTAAGTGGTGCCTCTTCTAAAGTCTGTTCTTCTCCGTTCTTTTTAATTTTAACCCCTTCTTCTGTTAGTCCTTGGACTTGACAATGTCTTTTTAAATGCCCTTTTTGTCCACAAGAATAACATCTTTTATTCTCGTATAAAGTTTTAGTAGGTTCTAAAGGTTGATGGTGTAAGTGAAATAATTGAGGATTTCTGTAGAAATATTTAAATATTAGATCAATTAATTCTTTATCTTTTATTTCTCCCTTTAGGATTTTGTTGTAAATACGATTGAAGATTTCTTTAATTATTTCTGGGTGATTTTCTTTCAATTGCATTTAAAATTACTAAAAATAAAAAGATAATAAAAAGACCTCATAAGGTATGGGAATAAAATAAATAAAGGAAATAAAATAAAATAATTTAAAAATAAGAAATTTAAATAAAAGGTTTCAATAAAGAGTTTAAAAGTTTTTGAAATAAAAAGTTTAGGAATGTGCAATTTGAAAATCCCATAGAATTTTAATTGATTTTTATCAAATAACTGATGTAAAAATCCACACAACTCGCACCAAGTTGTCACCAATTAATTTTGGGAGAGCATATTTTAATTGATGATAACAGATTTTTATTAATTTATGTGCATCAGAATGAATAGGCTAATACTAACAAATTAGATTTATTAGTGAATAATTTTGTTTTAGTGATTTGATAAAAATGATTTATTAATTTTGTATTTAGTCGAAACTAATTATTAACTTATTATTAAGTTAATTTGTTACAAAGTTATTCTTCGATTATAACGAATTCTCATTCCTTATATACATGTTTGATTATATGTATCCTAGTTTAGGATAATTAGCCTAGATTAAGATATTTA